TGCCTGTCAATGCGTGACATTTCATATTTAAGTTATAATCTGCATGCATTACTTTTTGGATCGCCAGGCGACCGATACACACACACACACACACACACACAGCAGACCCAGGGAGACAGCTTGAGAGAGAGGGTGAGAGAGAGGGGGGAGAGGGGGGAGAGAAAGGCAGCGGGGCCAAACATGTATAAATTTAATGGTATACAAAATTAACTGGAGGCTAATTTTCAATAAAACTGACAGCTATGTAAAATGAGGAAAGCTCACACACACACACAGAGATACTCACACATATGTATGTGTGTTCTTTTGTGCTTGACATGCAGTAAATTGAAATGAAAACGAGTAAAATACAAAAACAAACACGCACACACACACACACATACAGAAGCAAATGTACAAATAATATTATGTACTCATGTGTCTATAGATGTCCGCCTTATAAATTAAACAAAAACCTAATAAATAGCTAGAAGCAATTAAGTTGCAATTAATAACGGCTTATGCTAGCTCCCACTCTCTCTCTCTCTCTCTCTCTATCTGTCGCTCTCTCTTTCGCTCTGCCTATCCACTGCCATCTATCTCTCTCGCTGTTTGTCCTTTGTCTCGAGCCAGCCAGCCAACCCACGCACAACAGTTGTGCGCCATGTTTGGCTCTCCCTCTCCCTCTCGCTCGCACCCATTCGCTAACCCAAACTGCAGTCGATGAGGCGTCCATCAGTTGGCATCAAACATGCTGCTCCGCACATCAAACCAGTTTCAAGTCTTATCACTGCAAACGCATCTAAATTATCACGAATGCCGGCAGCAACAGCAGCGCAGCTGAGCCCGAGCAGAGCAGAGCGAACAGAGCTCACACATATGTAAACACAACGAAGTTGTCTCCATGCCACTCTCTCTCTCTCTCACATACTCTCTCTCCCTCTCTGCCTGCTGTGCACGAACATGTTGCGAGCAAGCGAGCCTGCGGCTATACTCAAACTGGCTGCGGCTCGAGCGCTCAGCTCGGTTCGGTCTGGTCGGGCCTGGTCTGATTTGGGTCTCCTGCTGCCGCCTGCTGCCTGGCATCTGTGCTTGCCCCTTGTTACTCCTGCTGCTGCTCCTTGGCCGCGGGCTATTCGCTTGTAATTATAATATTTCATCCCAAAAGTAGCTGCCGGGCATCAGCGTCAGTTTCGTTTGCGGCTTGTTGCAGGCTGAGGCACAGAGACCGACAGCGGCGCAGAAGGCAGCAGGAGATGGAGGGCAGCGCTGTACGAAACGTAGCGGCGCAACAATGCAGCCAACAATGATGAATTTTTGAACTTGGCGTGTGGGTAACTCTTCGTACAGTAATGCCTGCCACATAAACGCCAAAGCCAGAACAGAGACTTATGCTGCTGCGGCTGCGGCTGCGGCTGCTGCTGCTGTTGCTGTTGTCCTCAAGCGCTACCTGTGCCTGGGCTTCTTTCTCCATTCTTTGGCTGTTTACATAGAAATGCGGCCCAAATTAAATATGCCGCACAATAAGCCCCACTTGTTATTTATGGCCAATAAATTAGCCATCAGAAACGAAAAATGTTGCTGACACATTGCAAATGCAATTCCAAACGGTATTGGGTGCAATTCGAGCGCTTGACATGTGTGCTACCTGACACAACGAGCTGGTCGCACCGAGCACTAGGGGAAGGGGAAGGGGAAGGGGACGTTAGGCAGTGCTGCAATAGCTTATGATAAATTGAGCCCCTCGCCGGCAGCCAAAATCATTTTCGTATAGCCAAAAATATTGCTGATGCTGCAACGGCTGCAACCGCAACTGCTGCTGCTGCTGCTGCTGCTGCTTGAATGAATGTGTCTGTAGATTTCGTAGCAGCTCGAATTACCGTATCGTTAGCGGCGACATTTAATTAAAATTTTCTTTTGGGCATAACATCGTGGCGCATATCTAGTTTCGCACATTTGGTTTTGTGCTTTTAAGCCAATTGGTTTTGGCCAACTTTTGGCTCGCAACGCGTTTATCTGACGGCAATTTAGTGGCTTGAAGATAACTCGCATTGCACTTAATACCAACTCAGGGAGATGGCCATAAAAACGACACTTAATGACCAAATGGCAGTTGTTATGCGTTGTTATTTGTTGCCAACATCGTGTTGGTGTTGCTGCTGCTGCTGCTGCTGTTGCTGCTGTTGCTGGTGTTGCTGTTGCTGCTGCTGCTGTTATCAGTAGTCGCTGCTCATACATAATTGCATAGCTGTATGAAAAGCAGCCAACAATAGCTGCAACAACATCTGCCATTGTCGCACTGTGCGCTGTGTGCCAATAATATTCCACATACGCCGCATTGGCGGCAACAACAACAACAGCAACAGCAGCAGCAGCAGCAACAACAACTCCAGCAAGAACCGCAACGTTTAATTTCCCGTTTGCCACATTGCTGTAGCACAGCGCGTTGTTGCTTTTGTTCAGCCTAACGCCGCATTGAAATGCTTTTCCTGCCACGCCTCCTCTGCCCACAAAACGCCCCTCTGCCGGCCGCCTAACCACGAATCTAAAGCAAACGGATAAACGGAAGCTATGCCGGCGTTTCCGTGCACCATTCCTTGCCAAGATGCTGCGCCCCAAGTTTTGCAGCAACTTAAAAAGCTGATCGACGAAGCGCTACCCTGTATTGAGAGGCGGAAAATCAGAGCGAACTGCATGATATATTGCGTCCACTCTCGAGTGATAGTTATTTAAAAGAGACTTGCCTTGTAACAGATTTTAATGTGGGAGCCTGCTCAGAAAAACAGTGTTAGAAAGGTCTTGAAATGATTGTTTTATCTATTGGTCCAAAAATGATTCAAGATCAGACATGGATTTTGATAGGGAATTGCATTGAGTTCTCAAGTAAGTAAAAGTGCAACAAAACTGAACTTCGGCAAAAAATTTAACGTTTCACAATACTATTTCACTTAAGTCTATATTAAATTTCAATCTAAATGTTGTTGACTTACAGTGAAAACTCTTAAGATCACAAATAATGTTGGATAAGTTTAAGTTTTTAATGGAAATTTCCAAAGCCTAAGTTTGATATATCTATTTTCAGTAAAGTTAAACTTTTCTTCCACTCTCCCAACTCCTTTTCCAACACTAATATACCCAATATGCACAACTGTTTCATGCGCATTCCGAGCTCAATGTGCTTAACTTTCGCAGAGCTGAACTTAAGTTGAATCCGTTTACGTCATTCCAGGGAGGTTTGTTGCGGCTGCCAGTTGATGTATGTATGTATGTATAGAGGTATGCGAAATATGAAATGCATTATCAACTTTTCTATATTCTATGCAATTATGCGCTTCATTGAACAAGCGCAGAGGCGAGCGCAAAAGCAAGTGACGGGCGCACGTTTAGACACAATTTAATTAACAGTCACACACACACACACACACACACACACACACACACACGCTCTCTCTTTCTCTATCTGTGTGTGCATTGAATTTGAAAGTGGCATTCATGCAGAAATTATGCAACTGTCAGTTGCACAACAAAATCAAATTGTTTGTTATCTCTCTGTGTGTGTGTGTGTTAAATAATTGACTCACTCTGATTGACTTTGGAGATATTTTCTCTCTATAAATATCTGTATTTGTGTTTTTTGTATTTAGCACTATTTTGGCAATTTTAAAGTCAATTAAAGCCAAGCGATAAAAGAAGGCAAGCGACTCAAAGTCAAAGTAGAAGTCAGTCAGCTGCAGCTCTTGTTGTTGCTGTTGTAGCCGTGTTGCCTGCGGCACGCACATTTCAGCCTCAAATAGCTGCCAGCAATGGCAAAGCAATGGCTAAGCAGCAGCAGCAGCAACTAAAAAAGGAAGCAGCAGCAACAACAACAACAACAACAAGTGCATTTAGTTGCGCCGCACGAAATGGCCGCCGGCTACAAAGAGAATAGTCGCACACACACACACACACACACACACGCACATACATACACTCACAAAGGCTGGCTATATACAAAGGCTTATGTATAGACTCCTGGCAGCCCACTCGTTCGCCCTTGCAGGCTTGAAGGAGTTGCGGATGCTGGCAACGGGCGTTGACTGTACGGCGAAAAAGCGTCGCTGCGTGAAAAACTCGACTCGACTCGACTCGCCGGAGGGGCACAAACGGAGCAGCGATGCCGTACGCTTCGGTTTGCTAATGTTGCCCCAGGACCTTACCGCTTTGATGAGCGAGGACAGAGGACAAGCGACGGCGGGACGGCGGGACGGCGGGACGGCGCAACGGCAAGGACAATGTGGCAGGAGACGAGATCGCATAAGGCAATGTCCATAGAAGGGCATCTCTCGAGGGGTGTGCGTATGTGTGTGTGTAGGTGTATATATATATGTTTGTGTGTGTGTGTGTGTGTGTGTGAGCGGTTAGTGGGTACTGCAAATGGCCTGCGGTTTTGCGCCTGCGCAGCTCGAAAGGTAACAGCAACAACAACAACAACGTTATAAAAAGCCAACGGCCATGTGGCAACATTTCAATCTCCGCTCAGTTATTTGCCAACTAAATCCCCAAAAGGGACAAATTGTATAATTTGTACAGTTTGGCAAACTTAACTTATATATACATAAATATATATATATATATATATATATATATATATA